CGTGCAGGCGGAGGGGCAGCGTGGGGTGTGCTGGAGCTTCCCTAACAGCCTGTCCACAGCGCCCGTCTCGGCTGTGGAATTTGTTATTAAATAGCTCGAAGCAGTCGCTTCTTACGGTTAGAAGAGAAGCGAAACATTCAGCAGAGTGTTAAGCAAAACCTGGGGTCCCTGCTCTCAGTTACTGTAGGTTGCATAGTTAAGTGTGGAGAAGTAACAGTCACTGGTGAAAGAGGAGGACAAAATAATTTATTTTTTTTCTTGCTTATGTGCACGACAGATGACTCTGAACTTCTCACTGTGCCAGATGGATGGAAAGAGCCAGCATTTACAAGAGAAGATAATCCCAAAGGGCTGCTTGAGGAGAGCAGTTTTGCGACGCTGTTCCCCAAGTACAGAGAAGCTTACCTGAAAGAGTGCTGGCCACTTGTCCAGAAAGCCTTGAGTGAGCATGTATGCTACTTCTTGATTGTGAACACTATGCTTTGTCTTTTGGGAGACACATGTGTTTCTTAAGGTTATAAAAATAGTGCAGGTTACTTTTTTTGATGCTGTGTGTTTCTACTGTGCTTGTGTTTAGAATTGGTAGTGTAATTTTTTTTAATTGTTATTGAAATGGGTGAAGGTCTGTGGAGCCAGACTTGCATTTCTTTGCACATGTTGCCAGCAAGTATCTCCTCATTCAGACACCAGGGAAGTTGTGGAAGCCCCATCCCTGGTTGAAGGCCAGGTTGGATGGGGTTCTGAACAACCCAGTGGGAGGTGTCCCTGCCCAAGAAGGAGGGTTGGATCTAGAGGATCGATGAGGTCCCTCCCAGCCCACACCATGTTGTGATTTCTTGCTCCTTAACTCAAGGAGAGGAGGGAGCTGGTATTTCAGGCCTCCTGACACATATGTTCAGCCTTTTATGTGTGTGTCTCCATATGAATTCCCTTAAGCTGAAAGTCACTTTAGGAAATTTGGAAAGTAGGTACGCATTCAGAACATAGTGCTCTGTTTGATATCTCCTTACTGCCCAAGATTAATTTTAAGTTAGAGGTTGATTTACCTTTTCCAATATTGCAGTACGTGAATGCAACACTGGATCTAATTGAAGGAAGCATGACTGTCACTACCACTAAGAAGACTTTTGATCCATATGTGATCATCAGGGCTAGAGATCTAATAAAGCTTCTGGCAAGAAGTGTTCCATTTGAGCAGGTCTGTATTACATCCTACAAGTTTGTATCACATTCAGTCACAATGCTTATGAAATAATGCATTTTGAAAATGTGGGATTTTCAAATGAGTCAAGTAAAATAAAGTAGATATTAAAGTAAATATATCTGAAAGTGAAATGAGAAGAATAAACTGCATGTTTGCATTCAGGTGATACTGCCTGCTTGTCTCTTTAGGCTGTTCGTATCCTGCAGGACGATGTTGCATGCGACATCATTAAAATAGGCTCTCTGGTGAGAAAGAGAGATACTTTTATAAAAAGAAGAGGACGACTTCTGGGACCAAAAGGATCCACTCTGAAGGTATTTTTGATAGGTGTAGTAACCAGAAACTTCTTAGACACAGTTTGTGTCCAGTGTTCAGTTTACACTTCATTTCTTTTTTTGGTGTAGGCGCTGGAACTGCTAACGAACTGTTACATTATGGTGCAAGGCAACACTGTTTCAGCTCTTGGACCTTTTAGTGGGCTAAAAGAAGTAAGTGAAGGCAGATGAGCAGTTCATGTAGACATCTGTGCCAGCTCAAGGGCAGATGAGAGGCAGAATCTGGCAACCTCAGGAGTATCTCACTGACTTTTCATCTGTATGTCAGTAAGCTACATTTACACAAATGTCCATAGTTTCAGTTGCTGAATTTTGTGTAGATTCTCAGGTGTTTCTGTTTTGGAAGTAAAAAAGTATTTGTGAAATACTCTACTCCCTTTTTTCTAGCAAGAATTTTTGTAGTTTTACATGAGAGGTGTAATGGTGAAAGTTATTCATGCTTCTGAAGTGCCTTCTAGTTAGCCATGTATGTTAAGTGTTTGTGAAAGTACTGCAGAGGTAATGATATATAATCTTAAGGGTCATCTAGTGTTTTTAGTAACTGCATAGAAGAAGAGTGCTTGTCAAAAGCAAAAGTTTCTCATGACACCATAAAATCCACAGTAACATGAAAGTAATGTTTATAGGGCATGATGGGCTGTGTTAGAAACCTGTTTGGTATTTCTGAATTAGATAATGTTATTAATGCTTCTGAAGTCCCTTCTAGTTAGCCATGTATGTTAAGTGTTTTAAATCTACGCCGTTTTGGGGGTGGGGAGAGAGGAAGAGTGGTAGTATAGCTGGTGTTTTAATATATTAGAATGTTAAGTACTTGCTGAGTTTTATATCTTTTTCTTTCTTAATTGACAACAGGTTAGAAAAGTTGTTCTGGACACAATGAAGAATATACATCCCATATATAACATTAAGGTTAGCATGGTCCACTCTGCATCTTTATTTACAAGAAAATACTATTTATTCTCAGAGAGTTGTATGTTAATATTTGACATGTTTCTGTGTGGTAAACTGTTTTTGAGAATTTTTGTAACGTGCTTCTTTAAAAAAACCCCTGATTTTCATATCCTCCATTTTACTAGGATTTAGTGCCATAGTATCATTAAAACTATCTGACAAAACATCAAAGGAAAAGTGTGTATGAACTTTCCTCCGTTACTTGCTTATTTAAACTGAGGCACCTTCTGTGGTGCATTCTGTCCTTGTTTTGAGACATATCTATCTGGTTCTGCTGTTTGTATGTAAACCCCTCTGCTCTTACTGAAGTGAGACGTGGGAGGTTCAGATGTAGCATATTCACAGTAAGAATGTTTAGTAAAACTTGTAGTTTGGAGGTCTTGGCTACTACTGTAATACTATTTTTTAATTACTTCTGTGTGATGTTCTAAAAATACTGAAGACTTTGATGATCAAAAGGGAATTGTCAAAAGATCCTGAACTGAGGTCACAGAGTTGGGAAAGGTTTCTGCCTAAGTTCAAGCGGAAGAACTTGAAAAAACGCAAGGAGCCAAAAAAGAAAAATACTAAGAAGGAGTACACGCCATTCCCACCTCCACAGCCAGAAAGTCAGGTCAGCTCAAACTTTTATTTGATTTCGCAGGACTATGGCATGATTTGAAATTGTGTTCTTCCTAACAAGAGGTTGGGAGACCTTTCTGTCAAGTTCTGATTTGCTGATGCTATATTGCCTGGCTTATAATGCAGAATTATTTAAAGGTTCTCGGTACTTTTTGTTCAGATTGATAAAGAATTGGCAAGTGGTGAATACTTCTTGAAGGAAAGACAGAAGAAGCAAAAGCGAATGCAAGAGATAAAGGTAAAGTTGTTCCAACCTTTGCTAATTTAAAAAGTGTTTGACTCCTGACTGGGAATGATTTATTTTTTTTTTTGTCCCGTTAGCCCAGCTCTACTATACTTGACTTTGTTGTTTTTTTTTTTGGTAACTTTAGGCAAAGCAAGCAGATGCAGTCAAGAAAAGACAGGAAGAAAGAAATAAAGCTTTTATCCCACCAAAGGAAAAACCAGTTGAGAAATCGAAGAAAGGTAACCATTTGTTTTTTTTCCTATTCTAAACCCTTCTGCTGTTGATTCCTAGGCTGAGTTATTTTGCAGAGATACAGCTGTAGGAAATAAGAAAGGTCATACAAAAATCCCATGCTGGTTAGATCTGTGCCTGGAGTTGTCTGAGACAGTAGAAATATCATGCCAGCCCATATCTATATACCTATATAATGACACTTCTCTGTAAAACACTTTCCTGATGGACATCCTGGGACAGCCATCTCAATTTGTTGTTTGGCCTACCTCAATTTTTGGCTTTCAGTCTTGTAGCAAAGATGCTGTAACTTTTGCATTCAAATGGCTTTTCTCTCGAGAAAGCCAAAAGCAATACTTACTTGTAAACTTATGCCACAAGTTGAAGTAAAAACCACACTATATGCAGGGTAAGAACTTGTGTTCTCACATTGTCTTGTGAGCAGTAGAGAAAAAACTCTTCAGTTTTCTGGGTTCATTGATTATACTGTATTAAAGTTAAAATTAATTGTATTAGGTAGACTATGTATGTTTTGTATGAGCAATTCTGTCTGCGTATTATTACACTATGTGACACAGTTTCTTACAAACTGAAAAGTTGGTGTTTCTTGAAAATCATCTCTTCTGCAGCATTGATACAGTACTTTGTGATGGCAGTAAAATGTCAATCATCTTTTTATTGCCTGTTATGGATGTCAAGTACTGAGCTTTTCTAGCTCCTGTGTTTTGACCTGAAATCTTTCAGTCTGCCAAGAAAAATTAGAGCAGTAGTTTGTACGTAGAGAGCTGAGATCCAGGGAAGACAACTAGTGCTCACTCGTAGGTGTAGGAATTAATTGTGTGAGATAGGAGAGTTAGATCCAAACTTGTGACTCATGCCCAAAAGAGAAAATACCATCACTTAGATGAATGTAAGACTAGGTTATTCATGTTCCTCAGCATCAAGTGTTTAACTTAACTTCAGGTGCTCCCTTTAAAAGTCTCTTACAAAGGTCTTCATCAGGGGTCAAAGATCTGTGTTCCCCCAGCCCGCCCGTCTCTGCTGTTTCCGACAGTGGCCATTAATGGATGGCCATGGAGTTAGTGTAAGGATGGGACAGGCATGTTTGGGATTTTACCACCTTAGTTACATACAGAAAGGCAGAATACCATGAAAGCTTCTCCAGGTATAAGAACTCAATAACCAGTTGTTTCTCTGCTTATGTGAGACCAACAGAGCCAGTAGACCTATGTCCAAGACAGAATGTAAGCATTAATTTCACAGGAGTACATCTGTTGTCTGATCAGTGGGTGATTGTAGTTTGTATGTGTGCAGAACATGACATCTGTGTTCAAATGCAGTTGTATAGGATTTCATACATGAATGTTCTTTGAATTCTGCTGTAAGAGTTCCATGGGCAATAACTAGTTTCAATATAAATGATTATTAGAATTGTTTATAAAATCATCAGGGAACATTTGAGTCCTAACTAGTGCCACAGGATGCAGTGTACTGTGTGTATATATGAAGTTATCTTGTAGACTGTTAACATTTAGTAGAAGTAAAATTCATGTCTGTTATCTTCATGGTTTTTATTATATAGCCTCCACTGAGAAAAAAATTGATGTTGAAGCCATCAAGGAAAAAGTAAAGAATGCAAAGAAGAAGAAATTAGGAGCACTTCATGTGGAAGAAGTCAAGTTAAAAATGGCAGCAGATGAAAAGAAAAAAAAGAAAAAGAAGTAATTAATCACCTGAGATGCTCAGTTTTCTCCCATGTTAATGAACATTTTCATATTTGGAAGATTTGAGACTTCTTGCTGTCGTATAATCTGGACAAAAAGACCTAGGTAGAAAGACAATGTCTTTTCATAAGTACACTTTAGCTAGTGGACCTGAAGTACCTGAGCAGAATTGCCTAGGTTGGTGAAGAAAATCTGCACTGCTGTGTTGTTTGAGAAAGCATGAGAGTGTATCTGGATAATATCCATCTGCCTTAAGGCAAGGTTTCTAATAGAAACATTTAGGAGTTTGACATAGGATGTTAAACATCAGAGTCAGATAACTTTGTGGGAGTTTAAGGTAATTCTTGTGGAAACGACTACCATCGTGTGTGTAGCCTCAGTTATGGTGATAGCTTCTGCAAAACAAGCAAGACCTACTACTGTATTATGCTTTTTTTTCTGTAAAAGCTGGTAATTTTTGTGTGTCTTGTCTTGGTGTTAATAAACTATTTTAATACATTTCTTAAACACTTGAATTAGTCATCTTCTGCACAAACTACATGTTGTTTTCCAGGAAACAAGCTCACAGGTTCATGTGAGAGTTAAATAAATGTAATAATAATTGAATGCCATTAGTGCACTCATTTATTAGCATTATCCTGGAGGCTGCTAGATAGAATGTGGTACAAAGCAAGGTTCTTTCTGCACAGAATGTGCTGCAGAGAAAGCATAAAGTCTTGTTACCTTTCTTTTAATACATTATTTATTTATTGCTTGAAAGAAATTATAAGAAAGTGTGTTTTTGTTGTTTGTTTTTTTTTTCCTTTCATTTTGAGGCCCTTCCCCTTTATTTAAGGGAAGCTTAGAGGTTTTTAGTTTCCTGAAAATGCTAATTGTGATGAAGTAGAGTTCACCAGAAGAGCAGATGTTGCTTTTTAATACACCCACTATTAAAGAAGCAAATGTAATGATTAGGAGGTGGTAGAGCTACACCAGTTCCTTTATTGTGCTGGAGTACTTCGGCAAGGTTTTGGAATTTTGATCCCCTTACACATGCAGTGAATGATTATGCTAGAACATTGCAACTCTGCGTTTGGGTTAGTGACCTTTTATTGGAAACTAGTAACTGGAAATAGAGCCATTGCCTTTTTTACATATACAAATAAGAGTTCAGAATATTTGTTGCTAAAGAGCCAGTATGTGTGTGTGTGGAGAAATTGCTGAGATGCTTGCCCTTGAGGGTAGGGGACAGCATTAGCCTTACTGTGCCTTTCAGCTATGTTATCACTTTTTGGTGCTTAATTATTGAGGAAAAACAGTCCTTTTAGGGACTGTGTTGTTCATAAACGATTACTTGTGGAATCAGTCAGGAAAATAATACTTCAGCAGATACTTCACTGAGAATGTGATCAATGAGTCACAAACTCCGATCTCAGAAACTGTCTTGAGCTGATGTCTTTACTGATACCAGGACTATGAAAAGCTTTTTAGAAACACTAACTGATGTTTAGCAGTTGACAGTGCACAGTGGTAACCTGAGTTCAGTACCAGTCAGGTTCAGACTTCTCATGTATCAAAGGGACCAATTTCAACAGGAGGCAGTACAATACTTGAGTTGAAATGCCTGTTCTTACAGTGGATGCCACGGATGAGCGCTCCAACAGAAGAGTCTGCAGAACAAGGAGCCAGTAAGGAGCAGTGTGACCAGCCAGGGAAGGAGCATAGATGTAATTGGGGAGGAAGAGTCTTCATTCTAGTCTGGACTGGACAAGTCCACTTTCGCTGCAGAGGACTGATACAGGTGTTCCTTTTGTTGTTTAAAAAGTTAAATACAGATTTAGGGCTCGTTGCTCTACACTGGTGTTGATAGACTGCCATTTCATGTCAGGAACCTGATCAAGCTGAAAGCAAAGCACCCTACAAAAAAATTTTCCAGCTGCATCATCCAACTGCCTGGTTACCTGAGTTGCAGTACAAGAAAATAGCTCAGCTTGATGGCTACTTGGCATGAAATCCTTTATATTTCCATTGTGCTTTTTTGATTTAGGACCCACAGCTGAGGCTTCTGTGTAGCTTCTGCATCAAATCCCTATCCATACTAAAACTCTTAACAGACTTCAGGGGGTCCTGTCCTTCTCTTGTTATGGGGTGAAAAGACTGTGTTGCATTTCATCTTTTTCAGTTGTTATGGTTGACAGGTCTCAAGGATTGTAGGTTGGACTTCTATTTACTTAAACTGGAAAATCAAGAAAGGCTACTCAGATTCCTGTAGAGAAGCTAAACCAAAGGACTTGTCTGCTTAAGAGCCCATATCTGAATGGCAACTGGCTGTGTGAGCTCATTGTTGGTGCTTTTTGCACCTGTTTTCTCAGAGAATATGGCAATACAGTTCTAACACTTGTATAAAAAGTAAGGAATGGAAAACAATGTGGATCTGGAAGAGTGAAAAAATGTTTATTGCATTTTCATAACAGTTTGAGTTATTGCAAATTGCCCCCTTAAACTGATTTTAGAGTTTACAGACTTGCAAAAATGTATCCGAAGGCTGCATTTATATGTCAGTGTTTTGTGTTTATAATACAAAATTCATGGGCCTGTGCCATAAAATAAATGTGAACAACTCAAAGGGGTTTGATTTTCAGGAGTTAAACATTAAACATCTGTCTGGATTTTTGGATATCCTTAAAATGAGCCGCAGTACTAGTTTAGCTTTGAATTCCTGATTTTCAGGGTTTTTTTTGAAAAATACCATGGTGTGAAGTTTGGGTTTTTTTTTCCCTAAGCCCCAGTGATTTACAGGTTTTTTAATGAAGCTTTTTGTATGGTATCTCCTTAGAGCTGCTGAAGTAAACAGTTAAATGTTTTTAACTTTAAGGGCTCTGTGTTCATTCTGTTTACTCTCCTGGAGACCAAGCAGAGATTAAACTAAGCAGGGGAGAATTCCTACTGAGCTCACTTTTGCTCCCTGGACACAGCAGCTTATGCTCTTCGCTCTCCTCATTTCTCTTTCTTTGCAATGGTAGGGTTTAGCTGCATGTGGCACCAGTGGGAGAGACCCTGTGCCAGGCTCCATGCTAGGGTGTGAGCCCGTGCAGGAGAGCAGACACAGAGTGAGCCCTGCTACTCAAGTGCTGCTTGCTTCCCTGATGGGATTTTCTGGTGTGGTTTTGCAGTACATGAAACTTGAGGCTTGGGTCTTACACAAAAGAGAGTGGCAAAGACACAAGTGGAGAGGAAAGTAGCTGTCCTTTTAGATGGATAGACCAATGGCCTTGCTTTTGCAGTGGGGATTGTTATTCTCTTTTTAAACACCCTAATCTGCCTACTTTTGAAGATTGAATTTAGCCTGGCTCACTGACAGGTAGGCCAGCATGGGTACTGGGATGCTAGTTACTGGAGTGTGGAGAGGAAACTGCTCATCTTTACATCAGATGTTAGGAGGAAATTCTTTAGTGTGAGGGTGATGAGACACTGGAGCATGTTTCCCGGGGAAGCTGTGTATGTCCCATTCCTGAAAGTTGTCATGGTTTGACTCAGGATCAGCAATTGAACCGGAGACAGCAATGCTCTCGATCCCCTCTCCCTCCCATCCAGGAAGGGATGAATGAGAGAGACTCTGGATTGAAGTGCTCAAGGCCAGACTGGAGAGGGCTTTGAGCAATCTGGTCTACTGGGAGATGTTCCTGCCCATGCAAGAGGGCTGGAACTAGATGATCTTTAAGGTTCCCTCCAACCCAAATCATACTATGATTCCATGATTTTATCTGCTGTCTGCAAGTGTGGTATCTTGGCTATGGAGGCTCTGGTAGCCAAAAAGCTAAATATAAATAAATATCAAGAGCAATATTTAGAATTTTGTCCACAGCCATATCTGCATTTTGAAAAATGATTTATTGAGGGAATGCTGTGATGCTGAGATGACTCAAGTGCAAGCACTTAACTACCTGGAAGAATAAAGTAAAAAACTTTGCATCCCAGTTCCAGTGTTTTCAGTTAAGATCCAGCCCAGCAGTGGTGCCGGGACTGGGTATATGGACATATGGACAGGTGCTACAGGGTCAGTAGCCCAGAAATGAGGTGGTGAGGGCAACTTCCCAGTCTCCTGTACAGCAGTGGATCTGTGTCCTGCAGTGGGGCGTGATGCAGAGGCATCTAAACCTGCTTCCAAATATATATGGATCACTGCAGTCCAGCTGTGAGTTTGTGCAGTTCTGCTGCTTCCAGCCTCTGCTTGAGCTGAGCAACTGCAGTCAGTAGAGGACATGCCCAACTGAACAAAGCAGCTGTCCCCGCTGTTTTCTGCTTGCTCCAGATGTGCAGGTTCCAGGAGACTCATCCTTTAGCAGCTGTTGAACCAAAAGCATAACTATGGGCACAGCATTATTTTATCTGGAATTTTATACCATCTTTTCCAGCATTGTGTTTCTCAGCACTGTGCCTGTTGGAACTAAATAGGGTGGCTTTTTTGCGCACCAGCAGTCAAGCTTTAGTTTATGTTGCAAATACACAATTGCCACACTTGGGAACCAGGAATTAATCATTTATTATTTGAAACAGCAGACAAAATCTCTATGCTCAGAGGAAAAAAAAAAAAAAAAAAAAAAAGAAGAAGAAAAAAACAATGAAGAAAGATAGCAGTGATATGTGATTATGTGTAAACACAGGTGAAACTATGTCTTGGCATGGATGATGTGTATTTAAAACCAAATTCTAAGCAAAGAGAAGTTCCAGTGGCCCCAGTGCACTGGGAAACTGGGAAATGTGCTGGCTGCCAAAGGATGGAAATGCCAGATCTCACAGGGGTCCAAAAATTGTTAGAAAAAGTGTTGAAATGAAAAACCCCTCCTCTGCATCTTGCTGGAGGAGTGTCCAAGGAGAGAGCAGGTGTGTGCTCTGCCTGAGGCCTCTGCCAGGGCTGGGGCCAGGCTCCTGGGCTGGGCACCCAAAGTTTGGAGTGCAGCTTTCTGCACCTCAATGCTGCCTGGGCAGTGTGCTCCTTTACCCAGTTGATCTTGCTTACAC